ACAGGCGGCATTAGCGTTTTCAAAAGCCAATTGTTTAACAAAATCCGTGCCTGCATCTGCATTACCAAAAATTCTGCCTGCTGCAGTAATTAAGCGGTGAACAAAATCTGCAAAAGGCTCATCAGGTCCTTGTTTAATGTTAGTAAGAGAAGAGCTCATGTCGCCTTTGGTGGGCAGTTTCCTCCATGCCCTAGTGCCTGCAGCCTGAACTTGTGCAAAAAGACCTGCATCATATTGCATTTGGGCATCGCTATTAGCATAATTTCCTTCTCCTATTAGCATATCAAAATTCCATCCATTACCAGCCTGCGCATTGCGTTTAGCAATGTCCCTGCAGTTCTCTACATATTCTGATTTCCACAGGAGATAGTCTCCTCCAGCAAGTGTCGCTCGGGCTAACGTCTGCCAATCCCCAGGCGTAAGCCAATTCTCGGCTACTGATTCTAAAATTGCCGTAGTATACGGGGCTGTAGCTCCGTATTGTGCTACAGCGGTCTTTAACTCTTTTATTAATTTAAAATCAAACCCACTATGGTGACGCCAAGACTGTCCTTGCACGTCCACTGTTTCTGTTACTGGAAAAGCCTCTATATCATCTAGCTCTGGTGTAAGTTGCAAGCGGGGAGGGATTTTGGGGGCAGCTCCCCTCATGGGTGGCTTTTGATTACCGAGGACTTCTGATCTTACTCCACTCTCCTTTTTAGATTTTCTTACTTTTAGTCCTTCTAATTGGGCTATGAGATCTTGGTGCTCTTTTTCCAGTTTTATTTGTTCTTTGAGGTGTTCAATTTTATCTCTAAGTTCTTTTCTAGGGTCAAGGACTGGACAGGCCAGCGGGGGAGCACTGGGATCATTATTATAAGGCGGAGGGCGTTGAGAAACAAGCGGCCAGTCAGAGTTACGATATCTGGCAACTTCATCCGCCAATTCACCCCAATTAACCTCCCCTCCATCAGGAACAGTCTCCAAATATTCTGATAGGTCGGGATAAGTCTTTGTCTTGGATTTGATTATTTCCTCTGGGGCAACACTAGTTTTTGTTCTTTTGAATTCTCCACCCTCTCTCTGTTAGTTTTTCTTGTCTCCCCGTATGAGAACTTTTAGGCATAATTTTATTCCGAGAGGGCTCAGATTCTTCTTCCTCATTATCTCTATCGAATGACATGAAGTCCTCACATTCTTCACTTTCATTTTCATTCCCTTTTTTTTCTTTCTGTAATATACCCTCGCCATATTCTACTACATTGACAACGAGAGGATCAGAATGTCTCTGAGATAAAATCTCATCTATTAAATACCAATAAGAAAAAGCAGTTACCGGGACCTTCTCGGGTCCATAAGTCTTATAATAATCTCTAAGAGCATCACCGACTATTTTCCATCGTTTTTGATCTATAATTCCCTCTGTACCAAACCAAGGACAAAGTTCTTTAATATAATCAAAATACTGACACAAATGCTTAATTTTCACCTTTACTCCTCGTGCCTTTATAGCCTTTCCTAGTCCTTCAACGAACATCTTATCTTGGCTCAATGCTTGACCCATGATCGCCGTTCACTTACCCGAGGGGTGCAGACGCAGCAGGTTCCCACGTCGTTCCCTCTTTTCTTTTCCTTTCTGCCGGCCACTCGAACGGCGTCCTTCACTGGATCCCCCGTGCTGGAGCCCCACGTTGGGCGCCACCTGACCCGTCCCGCAGGTCGATCAACGAGGACTCTAGAGGGGGAGTGAGGGTGAGGAGGGACAAGAGACACGAGGAATGGAGACAAGACAGGGTTCTGATCAAGTCTCTGTTTATTCTGGGGAAATCCACAGTATATATAGGGCAAGAAGCAGAAAAACAAGGGCAAGAAGCAGAAAAACAAGAACATTTGTTGCCAAGCGATAAGTTTGTGGTAACCACCCTGAAGCAATTTCAGGTAAATATTATGTAAATATCCCGGGTGGAACAAATGATAAACAGAGCATAACTGGCTGAGTAAATGGTTACTTAAAGGAATGCAGAAACATTGTATGCAGAGATGCAGAGATTTCCTGCCTTGGGGCAGGAGATGGCAGAGCAGATTTTAGCAAAATGCCATGCAAACAGTCTCCCACAATCTATTATCCTCTGAGATGACATGAAGGGACCTGGAGAATGTTATGCTAAGTGAAGTAAGCCAGTCAGAGAAAGACAAATAACACATGATCTCACTTATTTGTGGAATATAATGACAAAATAAACTGATGAACAAAATAGACCCAGAGACATAAAAGTAAGGTACAGACTGACAACCTTCGAGGAGGGAGGGGGAAGAGGGTAGAGAGAAACAAAAGAACTTATATGCATATACGCATAACCCATGTACATAGACAACAATGCTTGGGGGGGGTGGTATCTGGAGGAGGCTGTCTGGGGGGGAAAACATCTGTAACAAAAATAAATAAAATACTGGATTGTGATTATATATTATTGTCTGAATAATATTTATTTAGAATTATTCCTTTGAAAGAATAAATATTATTCTTTTAGAATTTGCTGAATTTCTAGGTTATATATTCTCTATGAGGGGGTAAATGTTTCATGGGTACTTGGAAAAGGTGTACGTATCAGTTCTACCTCTTTTTTTTTTTTATCCTCACCCGAGGACATTTTTCCATTTTTTGTTCAGATAGAGTGGGAGGGAGAGAGAGGAAGAGAGAGAGAAACATCAACGTGAAAGGGACACATCGAGTGGCTGCCACCCGCACAACCAACCAGGGCTGGGAACTAACTGCAACCGAGGTACGTGCCCTTAGCGGGAACCGAACCCGGGTCTCTCTGGACCACAGGCTCTAACCACTGAGCCAAAGCGGCCAGGGCAGTTCTACCTCTTTAATAATTTATTATATTGAGGTCTTTTATAGTCTTACTTTTTTGTCAAATTAACTCAATTATGAAAGTCACTAAAATCCACTATTATCCTACGCCTGCCTGTTTCTCCTTGAAATCTTACACTTTTTGCTGTTAGTATCAATACTAGATATTTGAAGCACTTATTTGCAAAACTATTGTGTCTTCTGGCACCCTTGGGATTCAGAATTAGGGGTGAGTTATTCTAGTGTTTCCTTGTCTGTAATCAATGAAGAGAGGTTATGAGAACTGTTAATGGTGTATTTTTTTTTTATCTCTCAGCCCAACTTTATGCTTTTCTACAGCCTTCAAATAGTTTGCCTGTGAGAGTCTTCATCTTGCTCTCCCCTGCTTCTTTTTTTTTCTCTTACATTTTATTTTATTTTTATAATTTTATTTTTGTTACAGATGTGTCTCCTTTTTTACCACCTTGGCACCCTCCTCCCCATCCCCCCCCCCCGCCCCATCCCCGCTTTGATGTCCATGTTCATTTGTTATGCGTACATGCATATAAGTTCTGTGGTTTATCTCTTCCCACCCCCACCACCCCCTCTCCTGAGGGTTGTCTGTACCCTACTTCTATGTTTCTGGGTCTACCATATTCCTCAGACTGTTACGTTCATTATATTCCATATATAAGTGAGATCATGTGGTATTTGTCTTTTTCTTCTTGGCTTGTTTCACTTAGGATAATACTTTCCAGGTCCCTCCATGTCGTCTCAAAGGATAAGAGATCTTTCTTTCTTACAGCTGCATAGTACTCCATTGTGTATATGTACCACTGTTTTTTTATCTATTCATCTACTGATGGACATTTGGGCTGTTTCCAGATCTTAGCTATTGTAAATAGTGCTGCTATGAACATGGGGGTACATATATTCTTCCTGATTGGTGTTTCAGGCTTCTTAGGGTATATTCCTAGTAGTGGGATCACTGGGTCAAATGGAAGTTCAATTTTTAATTGTTTGAGGTAACACCATATTGTTTTCCATAGTGGCTGCACCAGTCTGCATTCCCACCAGCAGTGTACTAGAGTCCCCTTTTCTCCACGCCCTCGCCAACACTTGTTGTTTGATGATTTGTTGATGGCAGCCATTCTGACAGGTGTGAGGTGATATATCATTGTTGTTTTAATATGCATCTCTCTGATGATTAATGATGTTGAGCATTTCTTCATATGTCTCTTGGCCATTTGTATGTCCTTCCCCTGCTTCTTGAATCCAACTTAGGATCACAGAAGGTAATGGTGCCATATGACCCACTCTCCTCCACTATTGCAAACAGGGCTTTTTGTTTTATTTCCTACTGAAGACCTTTTTCCTATGCAGAGTTTTACTTGTCCAGCTTTTTCTAAAGTCATGGATTTTTATCTTTCTGCCACTCTCCTTTTGATCTCCACTATTCTTTTTTTTTTTATCCTCACCCGAGGACATTTTTTGATATTTTGTTCAGATAGAGTGGGAGGGAGAGAGAGAAAGAGAAACATCGATGTGAAAGGGACACATTGAGTGGTCGCCACCCACAGGACCCAACCAGGGCCGGCGACAAACTGCAACTGAGGTACATGCCCTTAGTGGGAACCAAACTCGGGTCTCTCCGAACCACGGGCTGATGCTCTAACCACTGAGCCAAACTAGCCAGGGCTGATCTCCACTATTCTTGAAGTCCTATGATTTAGTTTGTACATTAAAGTTTTGGATATTTACTAGTTTCTATGAAGGTAGAATCTGTATATTTATTTTTGTTTTGTTTGTCTAGGGAAGAGAAGAGTTTTGAGAAAGGAACGTTCCAGATTTACCTGCTATGTTAAACCAGGTATACACTTTCTACTTGTTTATTTTTTCTAAGGGTTTTGTCCTTGGTGATCTCTACGAAGAGATTCTTTCAGCTAACACAGGGAGGGAGGTCCAGAATGGTCATGTCACCTGTCCTTATATCTGAGAATAAAAAATGCTATTGAGGTAAATGTAGTGAGAGTTAACAAGTGTGGTGTGTCCTTGGGAGTGGGAAAGTCCTTTCCTGGACAGAGGGGACTTAGTAAAGGGTTGGGCATATAGAAAGAAGTCTATTTTTTTTTCTTTTTGAATAAATGTATTGGGAGGAGTGATTATCCCCTTGGATGTTTCCCTGCAGGAACTAATGCAGCCAAAATCTGGGGCAAATGGTACAATCATCACTGAGTTTGTCCTGCTGGGCCTGGTGGAGACACCAGAGCTGTGGCCACTTGTCTTTGTGCTCTTCCTGTTCGCCTACCTGGTCACAGTCGGGGGCAACCTCAGCATCCTGGCAGCCATCCAGGTGGAGCCCAAACCACACCTGATATACTTCTTCCTGGGGAACCTATCAGTTCTGGATGTTGGATGTATCACTGTCAATGTCCCTGCAATACTGGGTCATCTGCTGTCCCACAAGTGTACAATTTCCTGCGATGCCTGCCTCTACCAACTATTCTTCTTCTACATCTGGGTGGAATGGACTGCTTCCTGTTAACAGATGACTGGTTCCTGGCCATCTGCCGGCCCCTCACCTGTAGCACCCACATGAGCCAGATGGTCCAGTGGATATTGGTGGCTGTGTCCTGGGCCTGTTCCCTCACCAATGCACTGGCCCACACTATTGCCCTAACTACACTCCACTTCTGTGGTCCCAATGAGGTCGATCACTTCTACTGTGAGCTCCCCCAGCTCCTCCAGCTCTCTTGCTCCAGCACCCAACTCGATGAGCTGCTGCTCTTTGCTATGAGTTTCCTAATGGCGGGTGCACCTGTGGTTCTCATCATCCCCTCCTACATCCATGTGGCCGCTGCAGTGCTGCACATCCGCTCAGCGAAGGGCGGGAAGAAGGCCTTCTCCACATGCGGCTCCCATCTCACTGTGGTCTGCCTCTTCTATGGGACCGGTGTCTTCAACTACATGCGTCTGGGTTCAGAGGAGGCTTCAGACAGAATGAAGGGGTTGGGGTTTTCTTTTCTTTTTTTTTTTTTATCCTCACCGGAGAATATTTTTCCGTTTTTTTGTTCAGATAGAGCGGGAGGGAGAGAGAGGAAGAGAGAGAGAGAGAGACATCAATGTGAAGGGACACATCGAGTGGCTGCCACCCGCACGACCAACCAGAGCCGGGGACAAACTGCTACCGAGGTACGTGCCCTTAGCGGGAACCGAACCCGGGTCTCTCAGAGAGAGACATCAATGTGAAGGGACACATCGAGTGGCTGCCACCCGCACGACCAACCAGAGCCGGGGACAAACTGCTACCGAGGTACGTGCCCTTAGCGGGAACCGAACCCGGGTCTCTCTGTACCGCAGGTCGATGCTGCAACCGCTGAGCCAAACCGGCCAGGGCGAAGGGGTTGGGGGTTTTCAACACAGTTATCCACCCCATGCTGAACCCACTTATCTACAGCCTTAGAAACCCTGATGTCCAGAGTGCCCCACGGCAGGTCCTTGTGGGGAGTCGGTTGCTGACCTGAAGGTTCATGAAGTCTCTTCTCTCCTTCAATTTTTGGGTTGAGAATAATTTCCCATGAAGGCAGTAAACTGGAGAAATTGTTATGATACTGTTATAGATATAAAAATTATTATAGATACTGATGTTGGAAAACTTTTGTTATGTGTTTTTCTTGCAAAGAAACCCTATATAATTATTTCACTAATTCATACAATAAATATTTACTGAATTGTTTCTATATTCCAAACACTGTTCTAAGGCACTGGTGAACAAAATAGACAAATGTCTTTGCACTCATGCAACTCACATTCTAATGAATGAAGACAAACTAAGTGAAACAAATAAGCCTTATATATGATATAAAACACATACTGATACAGACTAAATTACATTATAGCAGCCTGAGAGTGAGAGAAAGGGACAGAGCAGTTAGCCTCTTCTCAGCTGGGAGCCAGCTCACAAAAGTCTGCTCACATCTCGGAGTGCTGTGGGAACTGGGAAGTAACGTCCAGGTGGCTCTTCCCGAGATGACCTAAAAGAGAGACAGAGCAACCCCTTTCCTGGTGGAAGGTTAACCAGCGCAATTGGCTAAAGAAGCACAAGGTTGCTTTGCTTTCCTAGTACACAGAGAGCTTCTTCTCCTTTCTGAATCCAAACAGGCAAATAGACCCAACAAAACAAAAGTAACAGCTTCTGTCCCTCCTGGGGAGAGTGCAGGCTGCATTTGGAGAGTTGGTTTTTGAGAAATGTATCAATCCTCCCAACAATAACATTTGGCTCAGCAAGTCCACTTTGTCAATTTCGCCTACGAAAACAATCAGGTAAGAGAAGGAAGACATTTATTCAGTTAAAAACCATGGGAAAAAACTGTAAGCAAGTGAATATTGAATAATGGGAAGAGTGTTCAATGAATTCTGATTATTTATTAAATTGCACACTGAAATACTGCATAGGCATTAAGCAGTAATATAGCTGAATATTGACTAACATAGATGTTATGTAAAAAATAATTTCCAAAACAATAGAATTCATTCTGAAAAATACATTATTTAACAGAGATCAAAGTTTCAAATTTAAATACAGGAAATTATTTTTGGCTTATTTTCACTTTAATATTTCTACAATAATGCACATTGTTGGTTTAAAAACAATAAAAATTAAAAACAGTAAAAATTCAGTGGTATCGCATTGTCTACAGAACATATTCCAAGCTCCCCAACAAGGCATGGGTGGCCACCCCAGCACGTCCTCTTCAGCTGCAGGGTTTGCTGCTGTGTGGCCACAGTGACACTCAGCTGGGACAGTCCTTGCACACCTCAGACTGTCTCCTGTTTGATTGCCTTTGTCCAGCTGTTTCTGCTTAATGACAACTGCACTGACTCTGGGACAGGTCCTCTGCCAAAATTTTATATTAATCTTCAACCAAAAATATTTCCTCATTGATTATTAGAGAGAGTGGACTGGAGGAGGGGAGAGAGAGAAACATTGATGGGAGAAAGTCACAGCGATTGCTTGCTTCCTACATGAGGCCACCTGGGTCAGGGATCAAACCCATAACCCTTCGGTCCAAGTGGTCCAACCCAGTGGTCCAACCACTGAGCCAAACTGGCCAGGGGGGCTATTGCATTTTTGATTAGATGATTTTTCAGTGCCTATCACTTGTTATTAACTTTTATAAATATGTTTTTTTTATTTTAGCATTTTAATTCTTAGGTTTAATTTTCTAGAAAACCTATGGCATCTGAGAACTTTAAAAAAAAATTTTTTTTTCTTTATTGATTTTAGAGAGAGAGGGAAACAGAGATAAAAACATTGATGAGAGAGAACATCGATTGGTCGCCTCCTGCACACTCTTCTCTGGGGATCAGGCCCACAACCTAGGCATGTGCCCTGACTGGGAATTAAACGGGTGACCTCTTGGTGCATGGGTCAACACTCAACCACTGAACCACACCATATGGGTAGAAATTTCTTTTTATTAACTTACTTTTTATATAAGTATAATTGATAAGCATTGTTATATTGGTTATATTAGTGTACAATATAGTGACTTGACAATTTTATACTTACAATGTGACCATCCCACTAATCTTAGAATCATCTGTCACCATGCTAACTTATCACAATATTATTGACTATATTTCCCTTCCCCTTTTTTACCCAGTCCCCAGCTCGTCCCTTCTGGTAACCACTTCTTTGGTCTCTGTTTCTATGAATCTGTTTTTGTTTTGTTTGGTATTGTCTTTAGATTCCACACGTAAGTGAAACCATATAGTATTTGTCTTTCTCTGCCTCACTTACTTCACTGAGTTTAATATCCTCTAGATCCACCCATTTGTTGCAAATGGCAATATTTAATTCTTTTATGGTTGATTAATATCCCATTGTATGTATGTACCCATCTTCTTCATCCATTCATCTTTGATGGACACCTAGGTACTTCCACACCTTGGCTATTGCACATAATGCTACAGTGAGCACAGGGAGCGCACGTCACTTCTAGGAGCTTTCCTAGTGTGAAACCACACTCGTGTGCCAGTATCACCTAATGAAGTCGACATGCTAATGTTTTATTTAGGCTTTTGCAGTTATACTTATTAATAAGTTTGTCCACAGCTTCTTTTTATATGTGCCAGTTTTGCCTACTTTTTATTATGACATCTGTTGCGTTAACTTCCATGTTGAACTTGCATTGGCTGAGTTTTAATTTCTACTGTTTGGAATTTGTTGAGTTTTCTTTAACACATTTAAGTATAAAATGTAAAGAAAGTTAAAATCACCCCAGACTCCATATTTTGGTCAAAATTGTTCCAACTGTGTTTTTTTATTAAATTGTTTTTATTCACTCCATATGCTGGGGAACATACTCTAAGTCAGTATTTTCATCATTTGTAAATGGCTGCATGCTATTGCATTTTATGATTGTACATATACATTTTAATCAATATTGTGATGATGAGCATTTGGATTTTTTCCTGTTTTTCCTATTATAGACAACGAATCAATGACTATCTTTGTACATATATTTTTGGATATATTTCTAGGTATATTCAAAGATTCACACTTTTCACTTTTATACATACAGCAGAGTGTCCTCCGGGAAGAGAGGGTCAACTCATGTTCCCCAAATGAGTGCGAACTGTCAGGTCCACGCCGCCCTGCCCTCTGACCTGTGCAACACGGGCCATGCTCACAGCACGCAGCTCTGCACAGCCAGCTGAAGACAAAGAAGATTTTAAATTAGCTCAGTACCTTAAGAAAATCACAAAATAAACTTTTTAGGGCTAAATCACAAATAGTGAGAAAGGCATCCTTTCAAGAAGCAAGAATAATAATCATAAATTATACTGACAATTATTGAAGATACTTGAGACCTAGGACTTTCTTGCTTTTTTTTATCCTCACCCAAGGATGTTTGCATTTATCCTCAAATAGAGCAAGAGAAAGAGAGGGAGGAAGAGAGAGAAAAACATTGACATGAGAGAGACACATCAAGTGGCTGCCACCCACATGACTCCCACTGGGGCCGGGGACAAATGGCAACGAGGTACATGCCCTTAGTGGGAACCGAACCCGGGACTCTCAGGTCTACTGGCTGATGCTCTAACTGCTGAGCAAAACCAGCCAGGGCCTTTCTTGCTTTTATGCTAGAAATCTTTGTGAAGGTATTGGACATGGAAGCAAACACTGAACTGCTTATATTTGGTCTTCCAGTCTTTGTGAATTTAATTTTATATTTTTTGAAAATCGTATAGAGGTATGCTACGCAATCAATTTTCAAACACATACACTGTTATTTTTGAAAAATATGGTGTTCATATTACTGAGTAATTTTCCACCCTATTACCACCAAATAGGAGAAAAATGTATAGTCAACACTGACAGTTTGTGACTTTGAAAACAAACAAAAAAAGACATGCTTTTGATCAAACAAATTCTAGTTCTAGCAATTTATTTTAAGAACATAATCCAACAAAATGCAATATATATATATGATTTTTATCAGAGCCTTGTTAATAATAATAATGTAAAAACAACATAAACATTCAACATTAAAGATTTTGTTTAAAAATTGCAGACTAGCCCTGGTCATTTAGCTCAGCATTTAGAGCGTTGGCCCGTGGACCAAAGGGTCTCGAGTTCAAGTCTGGTCAAGGGCATGTACCTTGTTTGTGGTTCATTTCTCGCCTTGTTCAGGGTCGTGGGGGAGGCAACCAATCCATGTGTCTCTTAGCCCTGATCATTTAGCTCAGCATTTAGAGCGTTGGCCCGTGGACCAAAGGGTCTCGAGTTCAAGTCTGGTCAAGGGCATGTACCTTGTTTGTGGTTCATTTCTCGCCTTGTTCAGGGTCGTGGGGGAGGCAACCAATCCATGTGTCTCTCTCACATCGATCCATGTGCCTCTCTCACATTGATGAATCTCTCTCCCTCTCTCTTCCTCCCTCCTCCCTCTCCCTCCTTCCCACTTCATATAAAGATAAATGTAAAAATATCCTCAGGTGAGGATTTTTAAAAAAATAAAAAAATTGCAGAATGGGCAAATCCATAGAGAGAGAGAGTAGACTAGATGCTGCCAGGAGCTGTGGGGAGGGAGAAATGGGGTGCAATTGGAAATGGGTATGGGGTTTCCTTGACAGTGATGAATATGTTTTAAAATTAGATTGTGATAATATTTGCACAATTCTTAGACTATATTGAAACCATTAAATTGTATACTTTAAATTGGTAAATTTTAAGTTATTGAATTACATCTCAATAAAACTAAAAAATTATGTAATCCATTAAATCAATAGAACACTCTGAAGCTATCCTAAAATAATACTGATTGTTTAAAATTTATACATGGAAAAATGTTTATAATAATTGTTAAATTACAATCACACTTTACTCTCACACACACAAAAGAAACGGAAAACCTGCAGTTTGCACTCCTTGATGCCCGGTGGTGTGACTGTGAGGAGGAAGAAGGAAACGCATCAGAAATGCTCAGCGCTGGCTGAGCCCCTCCCCCACCCAGCCAGG